TCCTTTGAATCAAATCGTTTCACGATTCTTCATGGAGGTCACAAACACAAATCATCTGTCCAATATTGCAAGGGCCAACTTACATACCCCAAATAGACATACATACTCCACCTATAGCTGTTATATAGGGATGGATCCAGGGGTTATAATTACAGAGTTCCCAATGATAACCGCAAGTTGGCCCTTAGAATTGTTGATCATTCACCAAACTCTCCAAAGGACACCAAAGGCTAGGGCCCCAAGTCGAAAGGCGGAAACCTCTGCCGGTTCTGGGCGGGGTTGCCGATTCCGTCATGAACGTCGGACGGTTGGGGAAGGGACAACGACTTTAGGCATCACTTTGATTCCTGATCTGAGCAGCCAAGAACTTCCCTCTGCACGGCGTTCCGTCTTGGCAAAGGGTGACCCCCCAATCAGAGACACTCGACCGTCCAAGCGGGTACTCCTCCCAACCGACAATCGCAAACTACATGAGACGCCAATCCTACACCGCCCCACCCTGCAATCGCACACTTTCTCCCTGCCAGCTGGGGCATAGCAAAGCTGAGGTGTTTTGACGGAGGTCTTGGTGGGAGTTGGACGGGACTCTGACGGGGGTTTTGGCGCAAGGCTCTGAGTTTTAGCGGGGGTGTTGACGGGGGTTGTGACGGAGGTTTTGACGGGGGTTTGGACGGGGCTCATTGTCAGTGAGGCCAAGATTCCGCCACCAGGGCTTGAGCCCGAGCCCCTCGGGTGAGAGCCAAGCATCCTAACCAGCTAGACTATATCGGATACTGCCAACTGGCTTTCACACCACAACTAGAGTTGCCCCCTGAGGAGAAAGGTAAAGTTTGGACGGGGGTTTGACGGGGGTTTTGACGGGGGTTTGACGGAGGCTTTGACGGGGGTTTTGACGGGGGTTTTGACGGAGGTTTTGACGGGGGTTTTGACGGAGGTTTGGCCGGAGGGTGTTGACGGGTGCTGTGGCGGAGGCTCTGACGGGTGTTTTGACGGGATTTTTGACGGAGGTTTTGACAGCGGAAGTTTTTTACCCAGTGGGCGCAACCTTGCCAAAACGGGTCTTTTTGGCAGGTTCCGCCCATGGGGCACAACCTTGCGAAAACGGCTCTTTGGGGCAGGTTCCGCCCGGGCCGCACAGCTGCAAAACAAAACCTCCGTCAAAACCCTCAAAACGCCGTCCGGGTTGAAACTGATCGTTCCCTGCCAGTAGATGACCAACCAGCCATTGTCAGTGAGGCCAAGATTCCGCCACCGGGGCTTGAGCCCGAGCCCCTCGGGTGAGAGCCAAGCATCCTAACCAGCTAGACTATAGCGGATACTGCCAACTGGCTTTCACACCACAACTAGAGTTGCCCCCTGGGGACAAAGGTAAAGTTTGGCCGGGGGTTTGACGGGGGTTTTGACGGAGGTTTTGGCGGGAGTTTTGACGGAGGTTTTGACGGGGGTTTTGATGGGGGATTTGACGGGGGTTTTGATTGACGGAGGTTTTGACGGAGGTTTTGACGGAGGCTTTGACGGGGGTTTTGACGGGGGTTTTGACGGAGTTTTTGACGGGGTTTGACGGAGGTTTTGACGGAGGTTTTGACGGGGGTGCGTTGTCGAGTTCTTGTTGTCACGGAACACTGCGGCGGGGGCGTGGCGAGGCGAGGCAAGGCGACGCCGCTTCCAGCAACTTGTTCTGCCCATTACGTGCGCTCAAGCTCCGTTTTAGCCATGACCAACAAATTACCCTAAACCCACCCTAAACCAAGCCTAAACCAACCCCAAACCAAGCCTAAACCGACCCTAAACCAACCCTAAACCTACTCCAAACCAAACCAAGCCTAAACCAACCGTAAACCAACCCTAAACCGACCCTAAACCAACCCTAAACCGACCCTAAACCAACCCTAAACCAACCCTAAACCAACCCTAAACCAACCCTAAACCCACCCTAAACCCACCCTAAACTGACCCTAAACCAAGCCTAAACCAAGCCTAAACCGACCCTAAACCGACCCTAAAGTAACCCTAAACCAACCCTAAACCAACCCTAAACCGACCCGAAAACAACCCTAAACCGAGCCTAAACCCAAACCAACCCCAAACCAACCCTAAACCAACCCTAAACCGACCCTAAACCAAGCCTAATCCAACCCTAAACCGACCCTAAACCGACCCTAAACCAACCCTAAACCAAGCCTAAACCAAGCCTAAACCAAGCCTAAACCCACCCTAAACCGACCTAAACCGACCCTAAACCGACCCTAAACCGACCCTAAGCCAACCCTAAACCAAACCAACCCTAGCCCGACCCTAAACCCACCCTAAACCGACCCTAAACCAAGCCGAAACCAAGCCTAAACCGACCCTAAACCGACCCTAAAGTAACCCTAAACCAACCCTAAACCAACCCTAAACCGACCCGAAACCAACCCTAAACCGACCCTGAACCGACCCTAAACCAACCCTAAACCAAAACCAACCCTAAACCAACCCTAGACCGACCCTAAACCCACCCTAAACTGACCCTAAACCAAGCCTAAACCAAGCCTAAACCGACCCTAAACCGACCCTAAAGTAACCCTAAACCAACCCTAAACCGACCCGAAACCAACCCTAAACCGAGCCTAAACCCACCCAAACCAACCCCAAACCAACCCTAAACCAACCCTAAACCGACCCTAAACCAAGCCTAAACCCACCCTAAACCGACCCTAAACCGACCCTAAACCAAGCCTAAACCAAGACTAAACCGAGCCTAAGCCAAACCTAAACCAACCCTAAACCAACCCCAAACCAAACCTAAACCAACCCCAAACCAAGCCTAAACCGACCCCAAGCCTAAACCGACCCTAAACCAACTCCAAACCAACCCTAAACCAAGCCTAAACCAACCGTAAACCAACCGTAAACCGACCCTAAACCAACCCTAAACCAAACCTAACCCAAACCCAAACCAACCCTAAACCAACCCTAAACCAACCTTGGACCGACCCTAAACCCACCCTAAACCCACCCTAAACCAAGCCTAAACCAACCCCAAACCAAACCTAAACCAACACCAAACCAAGCCTAAACCGACCCTAAACCAACCCTAAACCAACTCCAAACCAACCCTAAACACCCTAAACCGACCCTAAACCAACCCTAAACCAAGCCTAAACCAAGCCTAAACCAAGCCAACCGACCCTAAACCGACCCTAAACCCACCCTAAACCAACCTAAACCAACCCTAAACCAACCCTAAACCAACCCTAAACCAACCCTAGACCGACCCTAAACCCACCCTAAACTGACCCTAAACCAAGCTTAAACCAAGCCTAAACCGACCCTAAACCGACCCTAAACTAACCCTAAACCAACCCTAAACCAACCCTAAACCAACCTTGGACCGACCCTAAAATCATCGATGAGTGCGCGGGTCGCGAGTACGTGATTCACGGGTCTAAGAGTATCCGATGACAGACGGCAGAACCGTATCCGATTGGACGGGCCAGTACGCACCTGGCAGTTTTCTCCTTGGCAAAAGTTTACTCCCAGAACCCTCCGGCCATGGCCGTGGTGTGGGGCACCCTCCATCGAGGGCGGACAAAACGGATCGCACCCCTCGAAGGGTCGAAATTCCGAAGTGGGGCCCGGCCCACCCAAGACCTCCAAGGTTCAGAAATTCCGCGCCTGCCATGGCCTCTCCTGAGAGAAATTCAAAGGTTCACACTCTGATTCTAGGTCCTCCAGTGGAGAGGTTGGAAGGGTACCAACTAAGGGAACCCTCCCCCCAAAAAAGGGTAACAGGGCACTACTGGGGGACCTAGACAAGGGAAACTCACCATTTGAGAATGTTAGTTGTCTCAAAATTGGATGTTTCTCAAAATGGTGACCCTCCTTCTTAGTTGGCGTTTACGGGAAAACCAACAGCTGTTTTAACGGCATCCACATGGGTTTGCCTAAGGGACCGTGGCAAGGTTTGAGGACTCTCCATGTGTGATTCCGATTCTTAAGCTATACGGGCGTGTCTCACAACCGGATCCCCCCCCAAGTGACCTTTTGTGTCCTTTCGGTTTTTCGTTCCAACCGCCCAGAATGGGTACATTCAAATAAGACACATGTTGTGATAGGGACTCAAGGGAGTCAACGCTCGTTGGATCCTTTCATTGGACCTATCCATCATGCTCCTGGAGCTCCGAAGGGGAGCTACATTTCCAAGCTGCAAACATCACCAAGAGGAAAGTCACTCACAACTTGTCATTCCCAAAGGATAAAAACAGCAAGGAGTAGAGCAAACTTAGCTTTCCATCCCTTCCAACTCCGTCCGTCACTAAGAGCCGTTTAGCGTCCTGGAGGTGTTCCATTTCAAATACTCGAAAAAGGGAGTTACTAGAAAGGGGTCCCCGCAAAAGGGGACCAAATCTCCTCTCAAAGTGGCGGGTTTTGGGGCTCCATGTTACGTGCTCTATAGGGGAGTATGTGCGACAAACCCGCGTCGGGATCAGAAGTGAAGCGTTGGCAAGGCCAACCAGGGACCCTCGATCCTTGGTTCTGACTCCGCTGGTTTCGGGGAAAACTCGGCTCAGCGAAACTCCATCGAATGTCTCTTTTCAGCATAAAGGAGCCCCAGTGTTTCACTCGTGCAAACAAAGGCATCGGCAACGGCTTCGTCCCTCGGCCTTTCCAACTGAGTGCCAACAGTTTCACACGATGAGTGAGGCCATGAGAAAAGGAAATTCAACAAGGGCATCCCCAAAATATTTGATCAAGGGTGCAAACATGGGGGCGAGTCCTCAAACCTACTTCTACTAAATCCTCTCTGGTTCAATCATCGGAGAAACGCAGGGGGAGGAGGGAAAACCAACCAACGCGAGGGCCATGGATATTGCCACGGCGTGCTGTGGCGGCAAAGCGATGATAGGAACTACCCGAGAATAATACGTATACATATTTAGCCCTCACTGCACTTACTTAAGCCACTTTGCTCAAAACTACGAGCTACCCCCTGAAAACTAACGTAGAACCACAAATGGCCCCTCGATAAAGTAGCATTTTTGAAACTCCGAGCTGAAAAAGGGCAAATTGCTGCGCTTCCGAGCGTGGGCCCTGTGGAACAAAACTCTTCTGCGCCAGCAGAACTGCGCCGCTTTGAAATGGGCCTTACCACAAAACATGCCCAACTTTGGTCCTGCAGGGTTGCTTTCCGGGACTTCTTGTGCGTGCAATGCAACGTCTTGACTAGATACCTCCAGTGGCCAGGGGAAATCAGCTTTTTGGTTACTTGACCTAGGCTGAAAGCAATCCACAAAAAGCAACGGCAACAAATGGCCTGGGATCCCAACCAACGGAGCGCTGACACTTGGCACCCGGCAACGCACGTCCTACCACACCAGGCCAGCCGTGCCAAAAAAAACTTTGAAAGCTGATAAAGGAAGCCGCCAAAAAGAAACAAAGAAGGGTCAAAGGGCCCACTGAAGGTCTGCTAGGACCAAGGTCGGCACGAGGTTTACCCCAAACCATTCATGGACAATTGCACAAACGATATACCTATACACGCATGTACACATGCCTGTGATTATATATATATGTACACATATTCTTATGCACAGGGCGTGCCCCACTTCCACCTGACGCTGAAGACGCATTGTGGTGCCACATTCCTCTTTTACTTGTACATATATACATACAGATTAATATATATGTATATATGCACGCATAGATCAATACATATTAGAACAACCGTACATGCAGAAGAAAAAAAAAACGGATGCGTCGTATTGCTTGGTTCAGCTCTTTCAGCCACCAACCAAACACGCAACAGCGGCCCTTTTCACGCTTGACATATCCCCAAAGCCCCGCCCGCTAATCCTAAGGGGTGCTTCATTTTAAGATGAATTTGAAAAAGATATTCCTACTTAGCGCAGGGCACTTTGTAAGTGGTCAGGAATGGTGATAACCTACTTAGCGGATGTTTATCAAAATTTGAGTAGCTTCCCTCGGTCACTAGTCACTTACTCACCACAGTTTCTCGTTTAAAACAAAATCAGGTGGTTTCCCGTTTAGCAAGGAAACCATATTTTTTTCGATTGCTAGTTCCTCTGACCAGGGCCGAAAGTAATCCAACTCGGTTTTTGCCGGTTCGGGCCCCACGCCTCCCTGCCATCGCGCTCAGGGCGAGCCGCCCGCTACGCGGATGGAATCGGCGCGGATGCGTTGCGAGGTGCGGATTTTCATCAACGCCCGCTCAAAAGCTCAGAGTTATTGAATGTGGGACCTTAAACATTTTTTAGGGACCCCAAAAGACTTCAACAAAAAGGTCGGGTCTTGGGACAATAGCAAAAGGTACTTTGCTACCTCGGCCGTATCGTTCGTGGACTTCAGGTGTGCCCTGGGAGGTGTTGGCGCCACGCCAAACATTAAAGGACTTGGATCTGAAACGGGTAAGTGGCCTAAGGTCACTGAGGTGACAGCTCACTTTGTTGAAGAATATCACAATGCAGAATCCCGGTGAATCAACACCAGTGTTTGCAGGTCCCAGTGCCCAGGGAAAAAAGGGGCATCCTTTGCTTGGTTGATTGAGTTTAAAGGGAACCCTTCCCACAACAAAGGAAAAACCGGGCACCACTGGGCAACTGGGATTAATCAAAGAAGAGCTCTTCAAAGCAGCTGCCTGAGTTTGATCCTCACAAGTTGGTCAAGGCCGATTCCCTTGTCGAACCAGAAATCCCCAAATCTAAGTTTCAAGGAGTCGCCAGAGCTAGTTGATAGAATCAAACAACAAGCTGTTAGACACAAAAAATGCCTAGCCGGCAGCCTGGCGCTGCTTGTCGGTTCTTGTCGGTTGGTACACCGGTCTGAAAAGGTGATATGCAAGCACCAGAAGGATTTTGCCAATGCAGCACATCTCCGGACAAAGCAAACAAGACATGAGCCTTCCAGCAACACCCAAGGACTGCGAATGACCCCAAGCGTTGCAGAAGGATGCGATCGGGTCAAGATGTCCAGCAGCTGTTCCAGTTTGAAAGGACAATGGGGACTCGCTCATGTGGGCATGTCTTGTTTTAGGGGACCCCCAAACAAGGATTCATGGATCCCTTTGGGAATTCATGAAATTCCTATAAGAGGATCAGGTTGGGCACATGGGGTTTGGTATTTTTTGATGGCACCCTGTTTGGGTGGGAGAAAAACAAGAAACCAAAAGGAACAACCAACATACCTTTGGGGGTCACTTTGGACAATGTCACACTTCCAGGGGTTGATTCCCCATTCTTTTCAAACATCGTTCCTTCCAAAAACCGGATCCGTTTTCCCAGGGGGTTTCCGGAGGTTTTCTAGAAAGATCCGGATCCCTAGAAAGAATGGAAATGGAAGGTACCCCTAGAATAAGGCCCTTATTTTTGGGCTTCGTTGGGCTCCCTCCCCCTCCCTCCCCCCCAGCCCCTAGAACACTAGTCACAAGGTACCGTGACCATGTGGGATGGATGGTCACTCGGAGAGCATGGCAGCTGACTGGCTGGTCAGCTGCTGCTCAGC